AAATGCATATTTTTAAAATCACGTTTTTCCAGACCAATTACTTTTTATATATATATCCATTATGGGCATCTCGACAATTTCTGATTTTGCATTTTTTTCTCCTCTTTTTTTTTTTTAATTCCACGTTCATTTATATTGTGTGTCAATAATTTCCTATGGAAAATGGTATTATTCATTTATTATATTGTATCACGTAGCAAAACGTATGTGAATAAATCCATTGATTCAAGTGTGATGTACAATTTTGTCATTTGTCACTCGTTTCAGTAGTTAAATAAAAAAAAAAATTCTTTTTTTTTTCAACAAATATTTATTAAACTTTAAAAACATTAGACACAAAAAAAATAATATTTTTATACACATAAAAAATAATATTATTATAAACAAAAAATGATATTTAATTATTTTATAAAGCAAAAAAAAAAAGAGAAAATTACGTAAAAATAATGAGAATAAATCTCATGCCATTAATGAAGATATTTTGATGTCATTGACATGAAAAAAGAAAAAAGAAAAAAAAAAAAAAAAACGAGCCAGACTCCCTAATGAGAAAACTGCTGACGATAAATTACTCGAAACAAAAGAACAGGGTCTTTGCTTTTTAAACGAGTCTTTTAAAGTATGTGTCACGTGATTATTACGCTCTCATTCACATTTCTAGGGGTCGTGAAATCTCTGTGTCAAGTGAAGATGTTTTCGATGTCACTTTTTTCAGTATATAGAATGATATTCTATTATACATAGAGAGAGAGAGAGAGAGAGAGAGGGAGGGATGAAAAAGCAAAAATAAAGTGTTTTTTTTTTCTCTCTCTCAACATTATAATATCGAAGTTACATGCTGATGATAAAGTTCTCTTTTGGCATTGTCTTATTTCGCGCAGAAGCTGAGGGTCACACTTGACACAATTAATATCGACCGTACTTTCTATTTTTGCCATTTGTCGCACAACGTGTCATCAGTGGAAGCTGAAATCACACGTGTTTTCCCAAATTGTCTTCAATTGATTTTATCTATAGTAAAAAAAAAAAAGAAATAATAATTAACGATGCGAAAAAATAGATTTTTTTTTTATTTTCTAATATTTATTTATTAAATTTAAGTCAGTTTATAATTTAATAAAAATCAAATAAAAAGTTGTCTTTTATTATTATGAAAAAAAGTTGATAGTACATAATCTGAACTCTTCAACTTTTAATGAGAGTTTTTAATTTAAATTGATGCGTGTACTATACATATATAGTTATTTTAACTTTCACTAGGAAGTAATTTCGTTTTACATTCTAAATAAACGAATGGCGAAAAAAAAATAATAATAAATAAATAAAAAGAAAATTTTTTATGAAATTCTACATTTTTCATTTAATGAAAATACTTAAAATAATAAAAAAATATTATGGGAAAATAATAAAAATAATATAAAAACGAAAATAATTTAAGTGAATTTGATTTAGTTTTATAATAAGTTAGAAAATTGCTTTTTACATTGCTGTCCTTCTATCTATCTACCTTATACAAGGACGTTAAACAAAGTTGAAATATATATTTTTTGAATTCCAATTTTGTGTAACAATCAAAATTTTTAAAAAAATTTACTTTTCTCAAATTTTAATTTCTTATTTAAATGTGATAATTTGTAAGTAATTATTATAATAAATAAATTTTTTTTGTAATTAAAAAAAAAAATGTTTTTTAATATTTATTTAAAATTATTTTTCATTATTTTGACATCTTTTGATGTTTCACTGTAAAAAGTTCATTCTCATTATTTTCGATTTCAAAGTTGAAAAAGAAAGAATCGACTCTTGATTTTGTGAAATGTGATTGATGGATCTGAACCGTGTCAGAAGTTTAATTTTGGACAAGAAAAAAATTTTGAAATATAAAAAATGCTTGAGGCTAGTAATTTTTTTTTTTTTTTTTGAAATTATATTTTTTTACTTATTTGTTTGTAAAATAATGTTTTATATTTTATCTATTCAGTAACATCAATTTTCTCACAAGAGAGTTCAAGTTTCTTTTGTCGTTTTGCTTTCCACTTTGTGCAACCACAAATGTACCTTTACATTCCATTTATATATAATATTACGAAGCAACAGTGCTGAAACTTTTCATTGTATTGAAAAACAAAGCTCCTTTCTCACAATTTATTTACATAGCCATTTACATATATTTGCATATTTCAAGTAAATATAAATATATCTATATATTCAAAATTAAAATCAATTTTGAAGAAAAAATTTTCTTTTATTAACATAAACTTTTTAAGTTAAAAATTAATTTTATTTTTAGGTAATTAAATTTGTATATATATATATGAAAATTTTTTTTGTTTTCTTTTTTATTTTTTCGTGTTTTCCTCAGTTTTTCCCTTCACAGTAGACTAGATTTAGCAATTCCCCAGGTACTTATTTATCCTTCAGAAAACTTTCTCCTTATAAGAGTATAAAGAATGTTTTACCTCGACCTATTGGTTATTGGATCTTGCAGAAAAGAAACATCAAGTTAATGGAAAAAAAAAATATATATATATATATTTTTGAGCTTTTACTAAATTATTTAATCGAAAAGAATTTTTTATCATAAAAAATACGGATTCAATAATACATGAAAAGTAGGACTTCCGGAATGCAAACTTCCGAGATATTAATAATACAATGTTAATGCATATAGAAGCAGATTTTATTTGAATAAAATAACAATTTTTCCTATAGTCAACAAAAAAAAATTTTTTTTTTTAATTACATTATTAACGAAAATAAAATTCATTATTTACATAAGATAGGTAAAATTTTCATATTATGAAATGCAAAAAAGAAATTATTTTTCATTAGGAGAAAATAAATTCTTTTCTTTTTTTTTTCTTACAATGAAACTTGAAATTAAAGACAATTGAGGTTTTCAATTTTTAATTATTTCTATTGGTTCTTTATTTAGGTTATTAGGCCTTGCGTCGATCAATTGAGAAAGTGTAGAAATTTTCTCAAAGTTTTCCTTCTGCCTTTGATCGTTCTACATTATCGACTGTAATGTCAAAGCAGAAAAATCTCGAGTTTCCACGAGCTTTTATCATTTTCCAGTTGCATCTACTTTTAATTCTCCCTAGAGAGCGCCCGATACACAATTCGTCTGATTTTCATTTTCTGCAATAGGGAAAAAAAATTTTTCATATTTTTAAAAAAAAAACTTTTTTTTTTTTTTTGAAAACTTTTTCTTTTTATTTAATTTTATATAGAAAGAATATAATTAATTCTTTTGTGCTCAAAATAATTATATTTTTTTTTTATAATTTTTTCCAAATTGGAAATATATTTTTTTTCCCCATAATTTATTCTGATTGTTAAAAAAAAAGGTAATTTTTTAGAAAAAAATATTGCTTATTTTTTAATAAATAATATTTTTTTTTTTATTAAAAGTGGATTATGGAACGGATTTTTTTTTATCTTAAAATGAAAATGTTTTAAATTATTCTCTTTTAATTAAAAAAGAAACGAAGGTTTTTTCATTATTTAGAAAAAAAAAAAAACTTTTTTTTCTGAAGAAATGACTATTATCTGGATATGATACATATACAGAGGTATAATATTTTATGCTTTTCAAAGCATTATTCTTCATTAAAGTCACTTTCAAGATGTGATGCTAGTAAAGTAGCATAATCCTCTTGTCTACAATAAAAAATATCTTTCTTGGAAAAAAAAAAAAATTATTTGCATATACTTTGTATATATTTTTTGTAAATATTAATTTTATCTTCTTTTGTGTATTTTTTCTAATTTTAATTTTTCCGTCTGTTAAAAATAAATTTAATTTTATTCAATTTTATTAAAAAAAAAAAATTCATATGGAAGAATTATTTATTTATTCAGATTAATTATTTTAATTTTGAAAATTTAGTAAAAAAATAATTAATTTAGACTTTTTAGACTATAATTGATTTTAATTTTTAGACTAATTTAGTTTTTAATTTTTATACTATTTTAGTTTCAGTTTTTGTACTATTTTAGTTTTAGTTTTTACACTATTTTTTGATTTAAGTAGTAAAAATCAATTGTGCGTTGTAAAGTTGTATAAACAATATTCCAGTAGTAAAAGTCAGTTTCATTGCAGACATCAAAGTTTTGTAATTATTATTAATAGTAGTAAAACCCAGTTTTAGTCAGACATATAAAGTTTTCAATTTCCCACATTTCTAATTAGTAAAATCAAAAAACATTTTCATGACTAAATATATGACTTTCGGTTTCAGTAGTAAATATCAGTTTTAGTCAGACAAAACAGTTTAAATACCTACCATTTTATTATTTAATTCTTATCTAAAAAAAAATAAGGAAACGAAAAATTCGTTTTTTTCCAAAAAATATTTATACAGTTGAAAAAAGAAAAAAAATTTTTGTAACAAAAAATCTTATTGGCTTTTATAATTGTGGATAAATATTGTCTAAATTAGCTGTTAAAAATTTATAAATTAAATTTATTTACACGCGGTTTATCGTATAAACACGTGACATTGTCGTGTGGTTTTGGAGATTTCTGATTATAAATTCAGCAAAGGGGCGCAAACTCACCGGAGTACAAAGTTCAGGAGCAATGAGTGCATCATATTAATCGATGCTGCGCACCGGGACATCCATTCATTCTGCCCCACTACACTTGATATTTACTACTAAAGCACTTTAACACTTCATTCCAAAGAAATTGTCCCCTTTTCCTAAATTATTATTACTCTCGTTTATAAATTCTAACAGAAAAGCAATTTTCACTCACAATTTAATATTCTCCCTACTTTAGATTTTAATTCTTTCCAATTATCAAAAAAAAAAAAACAAACTTTATTTCAAAAAATTTTTGAATAAAATTAAATAATAAAAAATTTTATTATTGGGAGAATTTTTTTTCAATAATAAAATTTAAATTGTCAGTTGACAAAACATGACCTTGCTTCTGCAATACTGGACCATTTTTTTTTTTTTTTTGCATCAATCCTTTAAAGAAAATTTGTTATTTTATAAAGAAATAAATTTTTTTTTTGAAACAATTTTTTTTAAATTTGAATTTTTATAATTCGTTTCACCTGGGATTTTTTTTTGGGGGGTGAAGGGGGGTAAAATGGGTTCTCTATCTCGTGGCGCAGTCGCCTAGACAACGGCGGCGCCACGTGCATGTATGCGCACATTACGCCGTTTTTCAAGCCATAGGTATGTGTATTTTGCAAGTGAAGAAGCGAGAACTCCCGGGATACGAGAAAGACAAATTCCTCTATGGAATATAAAAGGGGTATTGCGGGGATGAAATCGGGACACACCGGGTGGAATACGAGAGAAAACCGCTACGATATACCGCAGTAGGGGTGGCGAGCTCTGAGCCACCTCCCCCCTTGTTTGGAAAAAAAAAATAAAAAAACGTCATTGGCACACTGACGCATGGTTGACGCACTCCCCCATTATCAGTGTCCCACGTTTTTAATAATATCCCTTAGTTTCTTCTATCGTTTTCAAAAATAGTGCGCGAATTATTCTTTTATTTCATCTGTTTCGATTTTAAGAATAAAAACAAAATCTTCCTCTTTCTCATATCTGAGTGAAAAAGAAAAACAAGAGAAAAATTTAACAAAAAAAAAAAAACGTGTGAGTGAAAAATTAATATAACTTAAGAAAAAGAAAAAAAATTAATTGGAGAAATTTATGAGAAAAAAAAAATAAACTCTTCCTGTGAGTGGAAAATTATTTTTTAGAAAATATAATTCAAAAAATTTCAGTTGGAAATTTATATAAACAGATTAATAGAAATATGATTATAAAATAAAAAGGAAATTGAGAGGAAATTGATGAAAATGATACAGAACGAGGATATTAATTTTCCAAGAAGATAGAAAAATAAATTAAATTTCTAATTATTATAAACTGAGAATTCTACCAAAAAAATGAATTTTCTTTCTTCTCTTTTTTCAAGAAACAAAATAAAGTTCAGATAACAAAAACAAAAAAAAAAAAAAAAAAAAAAAACTACAGTTAAAGTGTTAAAAAAATAAATAAATGTTGAAATTGTGAAAAGTTAAAAGTGTTAAATTATTAATTATAAAAAAAATCATTTTCGAACAATTTAAATAATATAGAATTAAAAAAATATTTTCTATAGAAAATTAAAATATAATAATAATAGTTTTATCAAAAAATAGAATTGTAGTGAAAAAAAAAAACGAAATCTCGAAAAACAAAAAACTGAACCTTCAAAAGCAATCACGTGACTGGTGATTATTTATCCCGCGCGAGACAGACGTTTCAATTTTAATAAACCAAATTGTGTGATAATTAATTAGTCATTTTGATTAGTGAAATAATTTCAAAAGCCAATGGGTTTTATTACTCTGTCCATGACCTTGACTCTGACCCAGAAATTTCCTTTTGTCGATACAATTCTCTTCCCTTGGAAAGTAAAATAGTTTATCAAAAGAAAAGTAAACAAACATTTATTTAGAAAAAAAAAAAATAATCGCAAAACAAAAATATTTGAAAAAAATGAATTTTCACTATATATATATACATGGAAATTAATAGCTATACTTGAAATAATGGCAACAGGATAAAAAGTAAAGAGAAATAAATATGTTTTGTTGTCCTTGATGTGAATCGATGAAAGCTTTTTATCCGAGTAGAAACAGAATTTTCCTTCTCCAATTTTTTAAGTGATCCACTTTTCCTCTAAATTCAAAATATCCTATTATTTCAAAAATTCACTAAAAAAAAGAAAAGAAAAGAAAAAACGTTATAAAAAAGGCTAAAATAATAATATTTTAAAATAGTATACAAAATTGTAAAAACGGAAAATTCTAAAAAAAAAAAAATTCAAAACAGATAAATTAAAAAATTTAAAAAATTCATATTTATCATGTTCATATATGATAGTGAAATTTTTTTTTTCTTTGCAAATGTTAAAAATGACAGAGTATTAAAAAAAATATAAAAAAAAAACCCCCTACCAAGAAGTTGGATGCATGGAAAAATGTTATAAGAAGATTAAAATGATAAAAATGTCATGATATAGAAATGATGTGAAATTATAAAAGAAAATCATAAAAAAAAATGACAAATGATAAATGACAAAACTGTTATATTAAAAAAAAAAAAATGTTATAAAATCGAGAAAAATTAAAAACCAGATATTATTAGAAAATAATAAAAGTTTACATATCCGAAGAATATTATAATTGTTATTGACTGGTTTTATTACACACATTTATTATATACAATAAGAAAAGTTGTTACCTCGTTAATTGAGATTTATGGAAAATTTTATTAGTGCCAAAACTAAAGAACTTCGATTGGAGACAATTAACAAAAAAAAAAAAAAAATAAAAATATTGAAAAATTAAGTTATTAGTAAGATAAAACTGTTTCAAGACAATGTCAAGATATCGATGATAAAATCGTTGCTGTCGCATTGTTCGACAGATTTAATATTTAATTAAACCTCAAGTAAGAAAAGAAAAGAAAAGAAAAGAAAAAAAAAGGTTTAAAAATGAAAGAAAAACGAAAAAAAGGATATGAAAAGCAGCTATCAAAAAAAAGAGGAAAAAATAAATAAAAAAATAATAATAAAGAATAGTAAAATAAAAAAAGGCCTTAATGATACAAATTCATTTTAGACATTAAAATTTTCTTTTGTTATAAACTTAATTATAATTTTCAATCAATTTCACATTAATTTTAAATCTTAAATCAATTTTGAAATAAATTGACATTTGAATGATAGAGTTATTATTATAAAAAAAAAAATATATATTTTGTGGTGGCGATAAGACGCGAGCCTCGGGATGATATTCGAGGTTTAAATGCATCCTCAGAGCCACTCATTGAAATGAGCAATAAAGAATGGGACTACGAAGCACTACCGGAAGTGACAACGAGTGTAATATTGACACCAACGTCAACTCCGCCTACAATACAAAAAATACAATCAACACCAAGGGTTTATTTTCAAGCAGAAAATCTGGCATCTATCAGAAGAAGAAGCAGCTCGAGGCAATTTGCTTCACAATCATCTTATCGAAGACGAAGTCGGAGTATGAGTGCCTGGAGCGATCTTTCGAGAGCTTCATTCAAATTCGAAGAAAGGTGAGTTTTTTTTAGACTTTTCATTTTATCAAAAAAATAAAATGAATTTCATATATAATTATTTTTTTTTTTCTCATTTTTCTTATCAACATAATTTTGATAGAATTTCTTTTTTAAACGAATTTTTACTCATATATATATATATTTTTTTAGATACACAATATCGTCAAAATGTTGATAAGAAAAATTTAACAAAAAATTAATAAAAAAAATTCTTAAAACTTGTAATTATTAATGAAAATCGCAAAATTATAAAATTTTTTATTGGCGGTTTATTTTTTTTTCTGTTAGAGAATTTCTCACAGAAATATACATATATAATATATTTTTAAATTTTATGTATTTTGAAAAAACTAATAATTGTGTTAAATAATTCATGTGTTAAATATTTAATTAATAATATAATGCAACATGATGAGGGAGAAATTATTAATAAATTTCTATTTTGGTAATAGAAATTCCCCCTACATATAAGAATATATATATATATTATATATACTTAACAACTAAAGCAATATATTTAATTCAAATAAAAATGGAACAAATCAATACCAATTTTTATTCAGTTTAAAGTTAAATAAACAATATTTTATACTCTTTTTTCCCGAACTATATTGGATAAAAATATGAGTTCGCGTCGAAAAAAAAAATATTAATTTAAAAGCTTCAGGTATGAATTTTATTAAAATTTAAAAAAAAAATGCTGAAAAGACAATTTCTAAAAATTGTTTCACTGACTATACATTTGTCAATGAAATAAAAACATTTTTTATATATATATATATATGTATGTAAAGTAATTTACAAGAGAATGACATTTGGGTCACAGCAATATTTCACAAAATGATCTTCCAGTGAGGCAAAAAAATATTTGTCCCAAACACTGAATGTCATCTTGAAAATATATATATATAATCAAGGAGAATATTTTTTCATTTCGCTCAAAAAGGAAATTTCATCAAAAAAAAATGTACAAACTGTTCATTTGTTTGAATTTTGTTATGAAAATATATATAAATAGAATAAAATGAATCAAACAGGCGTGTAAAATGTATATAGCAGTCGTAAAAATAGCACAGTTCTTTTATAGTCAGATAACGATGGACCGTAAATGGAAATTACTTAAAATAAATCCTTTTCAGTGAACATTTTTAACCATTGAAAGTTAAATTCCTTTGAGTATCATTTAATATATAAAAGAATAGAATTATTTTCTTTCTTTCTTTTATTTTTCAAAAAAAAAAAAGAATACAATTTTTTCTCTCTTACTCTCTAAATCTGAATTAGTAAAAAAGTTTACTAATTTGAAATAGTGACTCACTTTTTGCTTCTGAATTAGTAAAATTTTACTAATTATTAGTAACTTTTACTAACAATTAGTAAAATTTTACTAAGTTTACTAATTTGAATTAGTGACTCACTTTTTGCTTCTGAATTAGTAAAATTTTACTAATTATTAGTAACTTTTACTAACAATTAGTAAAATTTTACTAAGTTTACTAATTTGAATTAGTGACTCACTTTTTGCTTCTGAATTAGTAAAATTTTACTAATTATTAGTAACTTTTACTAACAATTAGTAAAATTTTACTAAGTTTACTAATTTGAATTAGTGACTCACTTTTTGCTTCTGAATTAGTAAAATTTTACTAATTATTAGTAACTTTTACTAACAATTAGTAAAATTTTACTAAGTTTACTAATTTGAATTAGTGACTCACTTTTTGCTTCTTAATTAGTAAAATTTTACTAACTATTAGTAACTTTTACTAACAATTAGTAAAATTTTACTAAGTTTACTAATTTGAATTAGTGACTCACTTTTTGCTTCTGAATTAGTAAAATTTTACTAATTATTAGTAACTTTTACTAACAATTAGTAAAATTTTACTAATTCAGAAGCAAAAAGTGAGTCACTAATTTAAATTAGTAAACATTTTTACTAATTCAGAATTAGAGAGTATAATTTATTTTCTTTTTTTTTCAAAAAAATATACAATTTCTCTTAATTTTAAGTATATAATTTCTTTTGTTTTTAATTAGAAAATTAAAAATTTTTTTTTTGCTACTTAAAAGAACAATTAAATGATTGTTAAAAAAAGTAAAAGAAATTACATATTTTAACAATCAGTTCGATAAAAGATCTAAATGATAAATAATTTAATTATCCACTAGTAAATAGGATTTATAATTTATAATATAAACATGGGATTTAATTAGTTCCTCCTTAATTGAAATGTTTACTATATATGCATTTGTGCATAGCATAGTCAAGCATTTAATGAAAATGAATATTGTATCTATATATAGAGTAGCAGTAATGTAACTGAATTTATTCAGACAGAATGGTTTGGAAAATGAAACATTTATTTGACACAGAATGACAATTTTACACTATTTCTTAATTTATCTTCACATTCTAATTTTACAGTTTAAGAATAATAAATTTTTTTGTAATTTAATATTAAAAATTCTCTTTTTTCTTTTTTTTTACTTTAAATATGTCTGACTATAATTGGATTTTTTCACTTTAGACGAATATTTCAAATTTTTATGCTCTATATAAGATTTTTTTTAAATTTGGAGATAATAGTTTGACACAGAATGACAATTTTACACTATTTCTCAATTTATCTTCACATTCTAATTTCACAGTTTAAAAATAATAAATTTTTTTTAAATTTAATATTAAAAATTCTCTTTTTTTTTACTTTAAATATGTCTGACTATAATTGGATTTTTTCACTTTAAACCAATATTTCAAATTTTTTTGCTCTATATAAGATTTTCTTTTTAATTTGGAATTAATAGTTTGACTAACTTTAGAGGGTTTTTTTTTTATTTATCAATTTGATTTTTATTATTGAATAAAATAGAAAAAGTTTTAGTATTTTATAAACAAGTTTTCAATAAAATATATAAAAATTGTTTCTAGCATTTTTTTTTTTGTAATTTTCAATATAGTCGCTCAACGAAAGAATAACTTTTGGACAACAAAATTTCATTATGATCTGGTGGCACTAAACTTTGTAAGTAATTTCCTAACTCAAAGTGATTACGAACAGATAATAGTTTTCAAGTTGAATATGGGTCAAGCTATATACTGTTATTGGTTTCTAGTATTTTACATAAATTGATGGACGTCTTTGAAACTTTAATTATTTCCAGATGCTCCCCCATGGTGATATGCTTTTATAATTTTTTTTCAAACCAAATTAGTGGAATATTAATTTTGTAATTTCACTGAATTAGAAAAATCGATTATGTCCGAATTTTAAATTAAATAATAATAATTAAAAGGTTAATTAAATTAGAAATAAAAATTAATTTATTAAAAAGAAACATTTTATCAACTATCCCCCCATATACAATAAATGTTTATTAAATTAAAAATGTAAATATTATTCATGAATTAGAATGAAAGATTTAAAATTGTAAAAGAAAAAGTTTTAACGAAGTAGAAAGAAAATAAAGTGAAATCAGGCGAGAAATAGTCATGTCACAATTTTTCTCTATCTTATCCTTATAAAGTTTAAATGTCTTCTATTTAATTTCCATATAAAACACATTTTATTATAAAGGATTTACTTTATGAAATTTTTTATTTAAAAATAAATAATGATTATATTTTGGTATATATTGTTTTTTTTTGTACAATTGTGAAAAAATTTAATTTTTATTTAAAAAAAAAAATTGGTATATTAATTTTTTTTGCACAAACATAAACTTTATAAGAATTTTCGTTTTTCCTTATGACAAAATAAACAATGTGTGAATGATAAAAGCCACAGAAAGCGATACAGGAAACCGCTATTTTATATTAGTTGGCCAATAGGGAATTCGTTTTCGTTCATATGACACAAGAATTATAACCAAAAGGGGTGGTTATATGATGGACTGATTAAATTATCGATCGTCACCAGAAGCGAGCGCTCATTTATTTTTAGCTATCGCGATGTATCTATCTCATATATATTTTATTTCTTGTTTATTTCTTTCGACAAAATAAAAAAAATACAATTTTTACATTATATTTATCTGCCATCACTGTTTTGGGGCAAAAAAAAAATTCAAAAAAAAAAACATCGTTTTCGATTTATTAATAATAGCAATAAATAAAAATTTATTCTAATTTTAGTTTGTAGAAAAAATAAACTTCCTTTTTTGTAACATTTTGTACGATGCGATTTAATAAAGAAATTATGCTTTGTTACATGAATACAATTTAAATTTGAATTTAGTGCAAATTTCTATTAATTTTTAGTGATTACTAAAATTTTACTAAAGAAAAAAAATATTTACTATATTATAAAATATGACAATATTGTAGTAAAATAATATTTTACATAGTGAATTTAAATATAGAGATATTGAAAAAAATTACTTTTAAATTTTTTTTTTGAAAAGTCTAGTAGAGAATTTAGTGGAGATATTTTATTTATCATTTGAGGAAAGAAGTACTCGTTTTCGAGGATCGTCGGTAACGGAGAGATAGCAGAAATTTTTTATCCCATGAGAAGTTGAGCTTTAAGAGCTTTCATTCCTGATATACCGACTGAGCAAAAAAAAAAGTTCAAGTGCATTCAATAATTTCCATCTAGATGTTTCTTGATACTTTTTTTTAGGAGGAGGGAATATAAAAAAAAAACATTTCTATTAAAAATCCATTGTCTTTTTTTTTTATTATAAAAATTATTTATAAACACTGTATATTTTATAGAAAACACTTGTTCGACTAAATCAAATTTTTCTACTTTTATCAAATTTTTCACACCCAGAGAAATGATTTATTTGAACCAAATAAAATATATTTGAGTTAAATAAACGTATATTTGTCTAAGAGCCTACTAACTTATTTATTTGGCGTAAATAAAAATTTTATTTGTCAGAAATAAATTTTTCTTTGGCTCAAATAAATTTTTTATTTCAATGAAATGAAATATATTTGCAACAAATAAATGAGTTAGTAGGCTCGGAGACAAATATATATACCATTTCCC